GGCCGGCGGCCATCTTAGCCCTCCCCTCAGCCCACCGCCACCCCGCTCCAAAAACACCGCCGAAACGGGGCTGGGGCGCTTCCACAGCCACGCAGAAAACCAGACAGGAGTGCTGCTGCCTCTCCCCTCTTAATTATTATTTTTTAACCGTGCAGCCAGGCGGGGAATAGCCTTCATAGCCCTGTCAAGAGAGAAGGCAAGGTGCCCCCTCACAGGGCGAGGAGACATCACCAGCTGCCCCTGTGCACCCAAAACTCTGCCAGCTTTCCCCAAAAAAAACATTCAGAACACGCCAAAGTGGCCCCTGCGCCCTCGCTACCTCCTGCTAGGCTGCCTGCAAGCACCTAAAATCCACGATCACGCGTGTTTAGTTGTATTTGCAAATTCACACCGGCTCTGCCAGCGCCTGTTCAGACTCAGCCCCGCTCTTCATCAAGCAGGTGGTTGCAGTGGGTTTGGGAATATGGAGAGGATTTAATATTCGGGGCGTTTTGGGGTGTTTCAGAGTCACTAGATGTCACTGTCGGCTCGTGGCGGGGACACGACACCGGGTGGAACCATGCGGCCAGCTGGATCCTGCCACCTCCATGCCCAGGCTAGTGGCCCATGCGGGAGCCTGGCCAACAGAGCAGGACATCTCCCCAGCCACCCAGGCGGAGACAAGGGACGGACAAACTGCCAGGGACACTTTCCCCAGCTGTATTTTGGGGTCTGGCCTCGGTGATCCCAGCAGCAGGTTGTGCGGGACACTGCTCCACCACACAATGCCCATCCCGGGGGTCTACCGGGACCTAGACACAGGTGGAGCAATGCTACCAACAGCAGTTAAACTTTTAGAACAGTGTAGCAATACTATGCTTGGGTCAAGAAAGATGTTCTTTGGATGTGTTAAAGCCAAAGGCATCCATAATCAGAAGAACAAGTAGTAGCCACCTTTGAGCAAGGACACGCAAGAGCCATGAGGCTTTGAAGAGGGTACATTGCCAACTTGGCATGCGAACTCAAGGTCCATGTATCCTTCGCTGAGCTACCTTCATTATAATACTCAAAATCCCACCTAAGGGTCAAGAAGACCCTTGCCCAGGTGAAGCCTCTTCCCCTGAGCACGGGTAGTAGAAGTATTGCATCAGCAGTATTATAATTGTATGTAAATTACTAACCAATCATCGTAGAGAGGATGGACTTGTACTAACTCTGCATGTTTTGTGTATAAATATAGCGTGAAAAGTCGCGTGGGTTGGTGTGCTTGGTTTGTGGGAAACCACTGAGCCCCTAGGCTTGTGCAACTCTAAAATAAATAAGCAATGTCTCTCCCGAGTGTGTGATTATTGACTTATTGCACACCGGGTGACAAATCTGCTTTTCAGGCAGCACTACCATGACTCCAATTACATCCTACTAGTAGTAGGAAGACTAGACATTATTGTACTAACAGCATTACGTGTCCTGTTTTTCTATGGTTTCGGTGCTATGTGGTGGGGCACTTCACCCATCCAGCACCAGCTTTGAGTTGTGGCCCAGCCAGCAACACTTCAAAGTGTCTTTTGTGTCTCTGAACAAGCCCTGGTGCCCACAATGTTAATTTGAAGTATTTGTCAAGCTGGGCCGGGATTGCTTCTGTGTTTGCAGAGCACAGGGAGAACCTTCTCCTGGACTTGTTTGCTGAAGCATCAGCCCAGCAAAGCAGGAGCTGCACAGGCTCGGCCACATCCACCTGCAGATGGAGAGGTCCTTGTTCTCCAGGAGCAGCCGCTCAAACCTGAGCACCCCATCGTAAACAGATGTTACATTTCTTATATGTAATATTTATATATTTCTATATATAAATATAGTTCTAACTTCACAGGAACTGGCCCAGAGATAGTAAGTCATTACCTACTCTCACCCATGATATAGAATCAACAATTTCAAAAAACCCAACTTTTTTTAGCATTCATTTTGTTCAAAACAGCTTATTAAGAAAAAAAAAAAAACCAAACCTCAAACTCAAACTTTTGGGAAAGACGAAAATACATTGCATTTCTTTTTGTTAATAATTTCAGTTGAAAATTAAAAAGAGAATAGCTGGAAATGTCTTTTCCTTCTGTTTTTTTGACACTTACAGGTTTTCAGTTGATCTGTTTAAAAGCTGTGCTTGCTCCATTCCAAATCTTCAAGCTTGAGACGAGTGCACAAGTTTACCAGCAAAACACAGAAGCGTGGGGAAAAAAAAAAAACTTTCGTGTCTGTATTGGCATGTCAGGAATGAAAACACACAAGAAGAAATCACCCTTTCAAGACTTCTGCTGTTAGAAAGCAGTTTTTACTTTTTGACAACAGGGATCTTTTTAGGAGGAGAAGGTGAGTTTATTTTTAAAATTTTTTCACTCCATTTCCTTAAAAACACAAGAGAAAACTGAACGCAGAACAAAGGATGGGTAACCTATCCCTGGCAGCTGTGGGGTAAGAAGACACTGAGGCATCGCTGCCTGCTCAGAAACCAAGGAGCTGCCCAACCCTGCCTCCCCACAACCAGTCCCATCTCTGTTTTTAAAATACACTAATTTTCTATTAAGAAGCAAAGCAAATAAATAAGTGACACTTATTACAGAAAAAAAAAAAAAAAAGATATTTCTATAAATAACAATATAAGAGTAAAGTGATATACAGTGTTCAGGGTCAGAAAGAAACACAATAAATTACCCTGAGCTGTTGGACGTGGTGCCTGGTACCCTGGGCAGACTTAGGAAGGCGAGGTGACAGCCTGAGCGCTGACAGCCTGGCCTAAGAGCACTTAGCTGCTAACACACAGACGGGGAAGGTCGAGTGCTTGGTCCTGACCCCTCAAAGCCCTTCCACCCACCAGAAATACAACTGCTAACTGCATCGGGTGGTTACAGATGGGCTCGCCCAACACTCCAGGTGCCGTTTCCCATGGCACCTGGGTGTATAATGAGGAGAGAACAGAGCAGCTGCCGTCTGGGCCAGAATCGGCACATCTGGATGAGGGGCAGGGGGTCGTCTGAAGCACCAGAGGTGTTGGAAAGCTGCTTTTTTATAACAGCTCCAGTCCCCTCACCTCGGCCAGCCCGAGCGCTTCGTTCCCGTCTGCAGCAGCATATGCACACCTTGGCAAAGTTAAGGCGATGCTATAAGACAGAGAGACCCACCGGGTTCTGCCCTCTGGGTTTGGGAAGCCACAACGAAGGCACAAATACACCAAGGCACAGAACAAGAGGAAGCACTTCTGTTCCGGGGCAGGATCAGACCCTGTTCATCTTATTGCAAGAGTCACAATAGTCTGCGGGTGGGAGCAAAGGGCTTTCCAATTTCCTTTTTTTTTTCTGATCTAAGCATCAAACGTGGGAGTCAAGTTGACCAGGAAAATCAATCAGGGTTGATTTTACTCCCAGCACAGGTCTTCCTCCTAGGAACACACAGCCACACGCAACGCCCTTCAAATGCCCTTATGCTCACAGCCGTCAGAGACACCGTCCGATTGTCAGCCCAGCCTCTCTGCTGGAAACTCTTTGTGTGTCCTGGTGCTTCAAGAGCAAGCAGGAGATGACATGTCTTGCCACAGCTATGGCACCATCACCTGGCCTGGTGATGAAGCCCCAGGAACTACAGCAAGTGGCTACCAAACAGCAGCCAAATATTTAGGGGGTTCCTCCCAGCCAGCTGCAGTTCAGTCCTGTAGCTCCGACTCTCAGATTGAGAGCGTAATGTCTCGCTTGGACCAAAGGAGCACAGATGTGCCTGCATCCTCAGTGTCTCCATCAAGCAGACACGGCTGAAAAAACAACAGTGGCAGCTGATTCTCATCAGTTCTTCAAAGTTCAACATCCACCGTGTCCTCCTCATGGTCCTTGATGTCCGTCGAGTCCGCAGTGGCGGGCTGTATCACCCCAAACTGTGACAGCTTTGCTGCCTTCTGCTCCATACTCTGCTTCCTCCATTTGATCCTCCGGTTCTGGAACCAGACTTTCACCTAGCAGGAAAATGGCACAACAGCTTAATCAAGGTCTCCAGGAGCCCCTTGCCACGTGCTTCTGGGGCAGATGATCCCCAAAAAGCAGAGTTCCTTAAAGAGGGGGACATGCCTCTTCTCTGCTGGGGGCACAGTGCTTGTGAGCAGGAGGAGGGGACACTGGAGGGCAGAGTGGTGCTGGAGGAAAGGACCAGGGGGAGAGGAGGACACAGTTGCAGGAGGCTCTGGCCAGGGGAGTGAAGGAAGCAGCTCTCTGAGCTCCCTGGGGCCACTTAACCCAATCCCAGGGCTACGGCTGGCAGAGGGCACGACGAGACACCCACTTACCTCCTGTCCCTGCTCCCCACGTTCTCACCCTCCCCATCTCCCCAAGAACCGCCCTTGCTTTGCTGTCCCTTTCCTCAGCTGAATCTGGATCCCACCACGGAGCATCACATGGCCTATCCTTTCCACAATAAATAAGCAGCTTTGCAGCAGGAGGGGCAGAAACTTACTGGGAAGAGGAGAAAAAAATTTAGATCCAGTGTCATAAAAGGACACTTAAAGCATAAACTGTCTTCAGAAGATCATAACAATTAGTCCAACCCAGCCTGAACTCTAAAGCAAACAGGTTTGTGCTCCTAAATACTTTTTGTTCCACCTGATGGATTAAAAAAAGGATGTTCTTATTCATAAACGACCTAACCCCACCTCGCATCCCTCCAGGCACGTGGCTTCAATGTTCTTTTGCAGCAGGGAGTCTGACGGGTCACTCTGCGTTGTGTCCTCCTCCCACTGCACTTCACGGCAGGGCAATCACCAACGGACCAAACCCAGCCCCAGATCTAAGCCGCCAGCTCCAGCTCCCCCATTTCTCACCTGAGTCTCTGTGAGATGCAGAGTTGCAGCCAGGTCTACGCGCTCCGTGCCCACCATGTATTGCTGCTTGAGGAACTCTTGCTCCAGCCGCTCCAGCTGCTCTGGTTTGAAGACGGTGCGGACCCTCTTCATCTTGCAGGGACCCCCAGACCTCCAAGGCACAGCGGGGCCCAGCGAGTTGGCCCCTACACAGTGAGACAACTCCAGACCTGAAAGCAAGAAGCAGCAACTGAAGGGGTCTGCGTGTTTGAGGCCATTCCTCCAGCCCCACTGATGGACCAAACCCGGCTTGCTTCATCTGTAGCTGAAATCCAGATGCAGCTGCTCTATGCACTAAAGGGAGAGAGCAGCATCAAAAAGAAAAGCAGGGTTGTCCCTACCCTGTCCCTACCTAGCTCGTCTCATCTAGGCTCCCTTTCCCAGAAAAGCTTGGACCAGATGATCTTTTGAGGTCACTTCCAACCTATTCTGTGACTCTACACATAGGTACAACCTAGGAGAGTCCTGGATGTGCAGCCAGACCCAAAAAAGTCAGCACCCAGTGAGGTGAACAGGGTTTGACCTCCATCTGTACAGGATCTTTGTAACAGAATAATAAAGTCCATCAAGAGCTGCTGAATGTATACATCCCACCTCTGTCTCAAGAAGTCCCAAATGTTGGGGGAGTTTAGCCCCTGCATTTACCCTCCCCTGGCACCCACAGTCAGCCAGTGTCCAGGAGAAGATGCTGAAGCTGCCAGACTGGCTTGATGAAGACCCAAGAGCCCTTGTGCAGATCCTCATCCTGGACCTCAGTCCTCTGCTCTCAGTAGGTTCAACTGACCCATAAAGTTCCTCGTGTGCAGAGGCATTAGCAGGACTAACAAGTGGATCTGGTCTCAGTCTCCTATCTAGTTGTGGCCTGATGATAACCATAATTACCTAGTTAACATACAATGTGCCAGCGCTGTCACAGGACCAGCCGGCACCGGTCTAAGAGCAGGGCTGTCTGGTTTCCAAAGCCCTCACCCTGCTAGCACAGACTTTGATTCACGCACATCTCAGTGTTCAAAAGGAGCTTGTGACGGCTTCCCTGAACACCCCCCAGGAGCCCCAGGGCTCATCCTGGCCAGCTCTTTTCTCCTGAAGGACCTTCACAAGAGCCAGATCTCCCTGCCAGGACCATGGGGTGGAGAGATCACAGTCAAGGGCTGAGGGAAGGGACCTGCAGCTATCAAGGTAAAAAAACCCTTCTGCATCCATGATGCTGGTTCTGGAGTTACAACATGTATTTGCAAGTAGCCAGGGTTAATAATTGTGCTCGTAGCTACAGTTACCGCACATATGGGGACAGTTACGAGGTTTCTGAAGCTTGGTGGAGTGAGACTTTGAATCATGGTCAAGATGACCTTGATTAGTGATAAGAATTCCATAAAGGATAAACTTTGATCTCTAGAAAATAAGCAGAACACCCTGGACCATGAAGAGAGTGTCTGAGTGTTGAGGAAGACAACCTGGCAAAGGGACTAATCAATTAATTAACCTGGCAATGAAACTAACTTTTGAGTGTCCTGAAAGTGAATTTCTTTCATTATAATACTAAAAAATGCACAGACAGGTCAAGAAGACCCCTGCCCAGGTTAAGACTTTCCCTCTGAGCATACATAGGAGTAGAAGCATTATTTTAAGTAGAAGCTGTATCATAATTGTATGTTAACCACTAACCAATCGGTATCTAATAGGCATGTTTGGAAAAGAACTAACCTCTGATTTTTGTGTATAAAACCAGCAGAAAAATGTGCCGTTGGGGTGCTTGATTTGTGGAAAAGCCCACCAAGCACCCAGGCCTGAATAAATACAGTATCTCGTCTGAGTGTGTTAAGATTGGGTTATTGCATGCCGGGCACGAAGCCGCTGTTTGGGTAACATGCACAGAAACAGGAGTGTAGACTTCACACATCTGAGCGTGAAGTGTTGGAGGGACAGTTGAGCCCAGCTTGCTCCATGCCAAAACTTCTGGACTGGGGACTTGGCTCCTGTCTGGAGCCTCAGGAAGATGCCAGACACCTCCAGATGAGACTGGAGTGTGCCCCAGGAACCCCTCCAGGTACCAAAGTGCACCCGTGGAGGTATCGGGAACCAGATGAGCCCGGCACTAAACTCTGTCTGATGGTACCACAGCTTCTATCCTGCCAACACCCAGCCACACGCTTAACTTTTAAGAAAGAGAACCCACTAATAGAGCCCACAGGACTTTTCTGGGTGGAAAGCAAAGCATGCGGTATGCGTCCGCAGGATCAGGCCACGACCGCTCCCCAGCGTTGCTGTTCTGAAATCCCAGCAGATCCGGCTTGGAGATCAGCTCTGCTTTGAGCAGAGGTCAGGTTCAGAGGTCCCCCGCAGCCGGAGCCATCGCACCCTGTCACCAGGGTACAGCAACAGCAGCCACGAGGGACGCTGGACTGGTGCGAAACATCTATATCGTGGCAAGCCACATTTCTTTAACTTTTATAAAGATACTGTACGTAATGATGCCAATTCACACCCGCTCCTTATCTCTCCTTCAGTGACATGTTCTCCAGGCACAAATGGGCACCTTGACCTACTTTGTTTCATTAATTGGGCGTAAATTCTGCGCGTGTTTAAGGATTTGTGGGATGAAGCCCTGACAGCTTAACAGCTGTAATTGCACTTAAAACTATTTTCATCATTAAAATAATTTCACCTGTCACTTTTTTTTTTCTCTTCTATTTTAATACTGGGATCATCTCAAGCGTAATTTCAAACATTAAATACTTTGTGGAGATAGCTTTGCAAATTGTTTAACTATATTGTCATACCTGTATGTTTGATATAACCCATGGATTAACACACAACTATGCAGATGCTGTCTCATAGAAGAAATGACAGATTAAATAGTTACGCTAAGTAGTTTAAACAAAAAAAAAAAGAACAAGAGTGGCAAATACTTCTGGTATCTGGATCTTGTAGCTATCGAGATCAAATCAAGTAAAATATATGCTCGGGTGCAGGTTTTGCCTGGGCAACAACGAGATCAGGCTCTGAATGCTAAAAAGATACTCGAATTTCAAGAAAAGTAAGGTGAGTGGAGGCACTTTGTTAAATGAGTAATTTTGTCTATTGAAAGTTATAATGCTCCTCGGTGAAAATACAGAGAGCCTGATGGGTTAGCCAGCATCATCCAACACCTCGGTGTAAATTTTACCTACAGATCAACAACAAAAACCCGTCTCCTTGGGTGCACTAAAAAATACGAAGTTTTGGGGGCCGGGTGCTGTGAAATCCTCAGCATTGACATTTCTGCGAACAGTCCCAGGGAGAGCAAAATTACAGACAGACAGAAGGGGGGGCAACCCCACACAACAGCAGAGGGGTGCTGGCACGGTGGAAAAATTTTAGTTGCGGGGCTGAGGCTTTGGGAAATCACGGCAGTTTTTCGGAGGCACGATGAAAACAGAGGCGGTGCAGTGCAATGGAAAGAGAAATAAATGCCAGGGTGTGCGCAGAGCCACCCTCAAAATGCAGGTGGGAGCACACATAAGACACGGGGGAGGGGGGCGATCTCTGACCTGAAACCTTGGGTTTAAGTCAAGCCTGAAGGATGTAAATCGTGTTCTCTGGGTCTCGCTTCACCCATTTCGTGTTGGGGGTAAATAGCTAATATTAATTATCGATCACTGCAGGGGGGGGGGGGGAA